GTACATGGGTGTGTAGGGCTGAATGACCAGCTGAGAGGTTGAAACAATAAAACTGACTGCAAGAAATACTGCAACAAACCAAAAAAATACTACTTATATCCCTCAAACTAGATTTTTTTGTTATTTTAATGTATTAAAATATACTTTAAATAAACTCTAAGAACACAAAATTAAATGACTGCTGTTGATTCATAATGATAATTATTGCCTTTTTAGATAATTGATAGATCTCTGTTAACACATAATATGCCATTATTTTAGCCCTAAAAAAGATGCAGCTAATTCTTGCTAGGTCATGCATTTGTAGTTTAGTCTGGTGGTGGTAGATTTTTATTGGTTGGCAATTCACAGTTATCGAAGAGCTTGCCAGTCCGATAATGTCTGTTGAGACTGAGACAGGGAACAAAGTCAGTGGGCTCAATAAATACATCTTCAAAAGTGACAACCTTTAACCAAGTTGTAAGCTTTTCAGCAACAGGTTTCTAAAATACTGTTTTTATTCTGACTTTACTAAGCCTAGACACTTGATAGCACCTAGGAACATGTGTGAGTTTACACATAATCAAGAAGAAGCAGAAAAGGAAAATTGACCTGAAATCTTAGAAAACAAGCATTTGGCTGAGTGCTAGCTGGTGTTCTCTAAAACAAGTGAATTATCTTTAGCTACTGATTGACTCATCTGACACTATTTCTTGAATGCGTTCTTCACTAGGGGCACGGTTTAAACAATCTGGCAGAAGGTCCTAAACTGGGAAGAATTAAAAATCATTATTTTACAACATTCAGGTTATGTAGTTTTTTTTTTAAATTGAAGTTGTCATTTATACGACTAAACTTGTATATGAAGTGTCACTTGCAATTTTTTTTAATTCAGGTAAAATTCACAGAACATAAAAATAACCACTTGAAAGTGTCATTTAGTACATTTACAATATTACATAACCATCTCTCTAGTTCCAAATATTTTTATTAGTCCTTCCCGCCAACGGTAAAACCCTGTACCTATCAAGCAGTCACTGTTTATAGAGTACCACTCCCCCAAGCCCTGGCAACTGCAGGTCTGCTGTCTCTGTGGATTTACCTCTTCTGGATATTTTACGCAAACGGTCAAATCTAATACATAACCTTTTGTGTCTGGCTTCTCTCTGTTAGCATAATGTTTCCAAGGTTCACCCATGTTGTAGCATATCCCAGTATTTCATTTATTTTTTATGGGTATTTTACTGTAGGAATATACCACATTTTCTTTACCCACTCATCAGCTGATGGACATTTGTCTATTTCCACTTTTTGGCTATTTTAAATGGTACTGCCTTCACATTTGTGTATAACACCTGTTTTTAATTCGTGGGGGTATATGACTAGGAGTGGAAGTTTTAGATCTGGCAATTCTTTTTTTATTTTAATTTTTTAAAAAATTTTTTTTT